AGATGTTTTTAAGATCAGGTTTGCTTTTCGCCACAAATGTAGTGCACCGAGACTTCTCTGCCGACAAAAGTAAATATAGTACTTTTGTGGAATACAGATTTTACATATAGACAGGATCGGGACTGATGGTATGGCTCGGAGCCCAGCCCGCTCATCGAAGGAAAAATGGTGGGGGTTAAAAAAGACGACTGTACCAACTCTTGAGCTGAAGCATCCAGATACCTGAGTAAGTAGGATAGTGCCTCGCTGATTCCTGCAAAACGTCCGTCCGAAAAATGTGCTGCGTACTCAAAGTGCAGTGACACTTTACCGGCAGTGGAATCAGTGCAGGTTAGAAACTTCATTAAAGGTTTGAATTTTTAAATAGCGAGAATTTGTTGCCCTCGAATGTAACCTAGGAGCCGCGGTCATCTAGCTGGGCACATCAAGCAGACATAAATATGGCTTTGGTATGAAATGACTGGGAAATATAGTACCGTTTTAGGTAGACGTACTAGTAACTGTGCTAGCAACAGTCAACGTTAGCAACTATAACAACCTCTTACTGTTCCCTAGTTAAGCCCATTACTATAAAATTTCTACCCCAAGCACAAATACTATTAAAGTTTGATTGTACGAGCTTGTATTTTGAAGTGAAAAGAGACCAAACCGAGACAAACGTCTGCCGAGAACAAATCATAGCGACTTGGTGGGAGAGCTTTAAGGTTCAAGGTTTGATACAACGGTCAAGGTGACAACAGGGAATTTGGGCGGAGCAATAGAGCCCAATAAGCAAGTGGGCGGGCGATGGAGGTAAGGATATTTGCGCTCTGGATAAACTCAAGGACTTCATTTTGGACGGAATGAAGAGAACACTGAAAAAGTAAAGCAAAGTTATGTGGAGGCTGTAAGATTGGCATGTGAGATTGTAATGAAACACCTAGGTGGAATTCTAGGAGATAAAGTGCAGCAAAATTGTGCGTCTAAGTACATGGTTTAATCTGATAGTGGCCGTCTGATTGGTTGTTCATTCGCATGGCAACCACATTCACGATTTTTACGCACGGTAATGCTGTCATTTATTTGAGGAATACAGGCACTTGGTACTGAAACCAGTAGCAGGATTGGGGCTACTTGACACTAGATAGTCGAAACGGCGGATTCGAAAGGGCTGTGGATGATATTAGGCTTACCCGATGCATTGTTATCTTCAAATTGCCGCATAAATATGAGTTGCAAAAATATGAGAAATGCTGAGACGTTGGTGACCAAACACTACAAGGTACTTTAATGGTGACAATAGTTTATTTTATTACTCGGGGAAAAATGGTGAGCGAGTGTCAATATTACTGATGACTCACATATGATCTAGATTGAGTCTCCATCTGAAGTTGGGACAGCAGCAAGTCCTGGAGGGTTAGCTAAATTGGCTGTTTTACAGAAAGTTGGAGACTCCAACTCATCATTAAGGTCCTAGACACAATCAAAGCAATAAAAAGACAACCATTTTAACTGCGATTACATTATTAATCTGTCGATCTTGGCTACTAAACAAAATTGTTGGGGTAGCAGTGATCAAGGATTACATGGTAATTTTCGCAGTGGCACTTTAATGATATACCATTTGGAAACGACCCATTTCAGCTAGGATGAACTGAAGCAATTCCCCAGATGACATTTACCGATTGCCATATACTAAAATGGCAAACATGCGTTGTTCTGGGAGTTAAAAAAATCTGGAACCAATCTTTTAAAAAATTTATTGCTCCTTCCCACAAATAATTCTAGAACTAGATCCTAAACCCCCAAGATCTTACGCTATATAATCACATATAGGGGAACCGCAGACAATTCACTGTGAGACGGTTTTATTACCCGACGTAGTAACTAAGATTAAAGAATTAGTTCAAAATGCACGTCCTGAATTCATGTTATAATAGAACTTATTCCCACGAATTGGCAAATGAGTATACACGAACATACCATTCTACCGTTCATGTTTGATTCAATAATTGGTGGCAGATCCCACGACACCTTTTTTGGCGAATCAAGTGTCTTCCTTCTCGTCTTCGGGAGTCTTTCTTCTTCCCAAAGAGACCTTGCACTTTTGTCGCGGGGCAAGCAATCACGCATTACATTGCAAATACCGATAAAGTCATCGAGAGTCACAGAGATTGGGAACTTAATTGACAGAGGCAACCCCACAACTGGCTCATCTGTGTTTCCGGGTCGTAGGATTGCGGGGCCACTAATCTTGTGAAGTTTATCGTCGGGTGTAAAAACCGTTATATACTTACTGCTCGGACGGGAGAAATTCACTTGAGGACCCAAGGAAGACATTTCTTGAAAAACTATTATAGTACCAGCTTCCGGTAGGTTAGTCATCCGATATCCAACTCGAGTGGAGACCCAGTGGCATGTGAAAGCAGAACGATTGTTGAAAAGGGAAATGGATCCTAGAAAATCACCGGAACCAGGCACGAATATCATCGGATCGACACGGCGAGTGGTGCATAAATACTCTGTCAAAGTGAGGAAAATAGACTGTGAGCGTCGCGGCACTTTCAGAGTGAAGGTAGAGGAAGGCGATCCATCCGCAACAACATCATGAAGAGTTTCATCACAATCAGAAATATTGGCATCAGAGTGCTCCGATGCAGAGTCCTCGTAGTCGGTAAACCCTAAAATGTCCAGTTTATGTTAAGACAATAAATAATAAGATAATAAATAACCTCATAGCGCAGAAGGCTATACAGTACCTGTGATGACGGTACTAGATGCTGTTCTAAGACGTTGAACTGTCGGACTAGATTGATCCTTAGCAGTCTGTAAAAGTTTGGGAATGTACTATTCTGATTGATATAATACAGAACAATTAGAAATAAGATTTAGAGATAAACATAGCATGTCGTATATCAAATATTGCCGAAAAGGAATAAAACATAAAGTATTTTTTTTACAATATCGGTATCGGGGAAGCAGAAAAAAGTAAAAAATATACCGAAGTCTTGCTATCATTCCAAATTACAATAAGGAATTCACCTCTTTAAGACACGAGCGAAAAGGATAATTCGCAGGTGATTTTGTTGGATCTGGCGTCATCGTTTTAGTTCTACAAGAGTGCATGCAATATGGTTTATAAACATGTTTACGCTGCCTATCAAACAAAAGGCCTCACACACAAAGTACACCTATTCTCAGTACACAAGCAGAGGAAACGCACAGCCAGGTGAGTCTACGGAATCGGTAGTAGGAGCGTTAAAGTTGAGCCTATGCTACTTTTGTGGGGAGAGATGAAGTGAGTGGCCTGACGGAGCAACACGCACCTCCGGAGCCGACGAACTCGTACAGTGGAGGGCGTCGAGCGCTGATCAGCATATATAGGTGGTCGCGAGCACTGGTTGCAGGGAGCATCGCTCCCGCCGGGGCGCACGTGAACTGCGCTCGACACGTGAGCGCATGTTAGGCGCGGCGAAGTTTGGCTAAGCGTTCGCACCACCGAGATGCAAATGCAACACGAAAATTGGGGGGGCTTCTAAAGGGGTACCTTTGAAGTCAGAGTATGATTGACTGATTTGGCACCGTGGTACAGTTGCATTTGGCAGCTCGACTCGAAACGATTACCAATGTATCAAACCATTGAGAAGTTTCTTCCGGACCTTTGAAATTTGAGTGAATGCGACTGTTAATCATGGTTTCTCCATGAGGATATAGAAAGAGCGTTTTCCCAATAAGCGACTTGTAATCCAATCATAAGGTACACAATTATTTAGGTACCTGGGTTGAAAAGCCTAAACCATTCCTATTTGGTGTTCTTCCTCACAACCACGAAATTTGTGGTCTTTTTTAAAGGAACCTGAGTAAAATTTTGGATTTGATAGTTGACCATGGTTCGCGGATAACTATATATCGGAATTAGCAGCACTGCTTTCTTAGGTCGTTTGGGACAGCTAGAACCCTTCAAGATAAGACATAATTATTGGATTAGACATAGATTTGACGCACAGTGGCATCTATTCATCTCAACAATTTGTGGAGTCTCCTATCGGTAACCAATGCCTGCATGCCAAAATGAAATTTCTTATCATTTACAAAGTAGCAGTAAATTTCACCGATACCGCCATACTGCAGTATGACACAGTAAAGCCCAGTGTAATGTTATTAGCTCCGATAGATTGTGTAAAAATGCACTAATAACTAGTCTATTGTTTTGCAGTTAGTGCCTTTTTGCATGCATTAGTGCAAACACTATCAGTTGCTGAAAATTAAACGGCCAGCCTAAATACCTAGCAAGTATAATGAAATAAGAATTTACTTTCCTCAAAAATAAAGTTGTGAGTCCATTCGACATCAAAAATAAAGCATCAATTTGGTGAAATCTTTGTTTTTATTCCATATTTATTTCTTCCTGACCCCTTTTTTAAGAGAGAATACCCAGAATGAATGGGACTAATGCAGAAAATCTCCTGAGGGTTTGGTAAATTTTTATGACTACAATTATAAATATGCCAAAATGTGGAGACCTATAAGTTGGAAACAAAGTTTTGAGCATGCTGAATTACGGATATTTGCACGGACTAAATCGTCGTGGCGGCCACTGAAGCAGAACGCAATTTAATCCGTGGGTTCGTAAATTTCGTTTCAGTCAAAACAGTAACCGAGGTCAATTCGTAAGTGTTTATTATGCAAAATAAAATAAGATTGAATTAAAATAAGTGGGAGCCAAAACAATCAATAGTGGTTTTATGAAGAGAGCTTAACATTTGAAGGTTTGATAGAATGGGAGCTCTGGGTGCTAGCCTGTTCACCTACTGCCATGGAGGATGAGTAGCATAACTAATTGTCAAGTTCTTGCGATTCGTCTTGATGAGGTATTAAGGCTTATCAACGCTTCTAATGACCGGTAGCTAAAATCCCAACTGAACAACCACATTTAGATCCAGTGTACCAGTGGTATAATCCACTTAACTTAGTGATTTTATATCAATAATCACTTAATAAACTTTTTTGCGATAACTAGTGAAGAGAAAGAGCTACACTCACTAACAACTCACTAGGATCATTCATTAATGAAAACCAAATGCTCCCTTTGTTAATGGTACAACAACTAACACTCAATGAACTGTTAAAAATATTTATTTGGATATACCAACCGGGGGAGGAGCATTCAGTAGGCACAAATCTCATCACGGAACAGTCGTCGCTTGAACGGGCATAATCCTGATCACTGCAATCAATCAGTCTAATCAGTCCAAGGAAATGAAGGCCAAGGGGGAAGAAGTGAATACCGAACCTATCGCCTTGTGTTTGAATGAAGGGGAAAATTCTCAGCTCAAGTATACATCGACAAACCAACATTAAATGACTTAAGATTAACCATAATTTTTGGTGATTTAAGGAATATTTAGGGATATTCAACAGCGATGAAATAAATCAGCAACAGATACATAAGTATTTGAAAAGAGAGGGGAAGAAATGCTAAGCAGAGAGGACAAATCTAATGTACACAGAGGGAGCGGTTCTTTGGTCATTTTCACAAAACAAGGATGGGTTTATGCACTCGACCCTCCTTTTCCAAATTTGTATAATATAGAGCAAAAGAATTTCATTTGCATTAAATTTGATCGAAATGTAGGGATGTCATCAGAAACGATTAAACGGGGTAGAATGAATACCTTAATATGGAAACCTTTTGACAACACAATGCTCATTTAAATACTAAAGTTGTAATGCTGAAACTCCAACAAACATTATAAGTGCACACACTCGAGGCGCTGTAGATTCAACTGGCGGAATGAGGAAAGCATACGCAAGTGTCAAGGGTGGAGATGAACGCCTATTAGTGGGAACTTAGCCTTCTATGGCCACAACTCCATGGTAAAAACTCGATCTTACCAGAGGTGAGCATAAATCAAAAATACTACTTAGCAAGTCATCAGTACTATCCATATTTTGCACCCCACCAAACCTGCTAAACCCGTGTTCCATATCGTTAAATCGAGGTTCCTATATGCGCTCTCGAATATTTCGAGAGCTAATGCTAGATAATACAATAAACCAGATCGACTGAAAAGTCTCGCATAGAGCTATAATGTGATAAAGATCTCAAATGGTTCTGCAAACCCCAGGAACATGGACATGGAGAAGGACAAGTAGGTGTAATTTTCTGCACCTTTAAGAAGAAATAAGGTTTGTACAATTTCAAATGTCACATTATTGGGGATGCAATATAGTTGATTTAATGTGTTCATGTTGTTGTGCACTGTAGAAGATGAGAAAAATGCATTAAATCTATGCTGTCATGCAGAGTGCTGAATTTGCCAAATACCATTGAGTATTCTCAAGATTCCATAGCATATTCGCAAGATCATATGATCTAATCATACAAATCCATAATATTATCCATGATGAGGTGCATTTGCAGCGCTTGTATGGAAATGCAAGCGAAAATGGGGGCCTCTAGAAAACCCAAATCGCATATGAATATGTAGGCACAAAATCTCGACCTGACTACACTCGCTTCGTTAGTAGCCAAAACCTACAGCATACAAAGTAAACAACTACAAATTCTTTTTAGCAAAATAGAAATACAATTTTAAGGGAGGACTATTGTTTCTATTTCAATAAATTATCTGTTTGCAACCACATGGTCAGGCAGGACTACTCAGCAGTCAGTGCTCTTTTTCATAATGCTAGAAAATCCCGAGATAAAAGGAAGCGCAGATTTGAACGACTTGCTACTTTACTACAGAGTTGGTAGCACCGATTTCGCTTGAGGATTGTTTCCAAAGTATGAAAAACGTGTGTCGATGTATTTCAGAGCTTGCTAACTACGTATTGAGATGAGGAACATAATAACCGATTATGGGCGGAGAAGGCCATTAACAAAGAGTGTGATATTAAAATAGGCTAAGGAATATTTGAAATGATGAGTGACGGATTCCATTTTAAGTAGAAGAACTGAGATTTACAAATTAGGAGGAGCGGACAAAGTAACACTTTGATAACGCAGGTAGGTTGTTTAGACATGGCTGTGGGATTGCGAAATGCCATACAGACTTGACACTCTACTGCTCAATTACGTTTTGAATAATTGGGCATCTATTGCAAAACAAGGGGGCACACAGCAGTGTCGATCATTTATTAATCAAGAGAATAGATACCGCCCAATTAATCATCAAAGATAACAGAGGCTATATGGTCACCCAAGCTACTATGCAGGAAACAGTTAGGAGGAGAAATTCTTAAATACACCAAACCAGTCAATTCGGACTAACTACTTATTCCACCGGCATTAAAGGAATTAAAAACATCAACAGTGACAAAGGAGAGGGATCAGAGTAAGGTGGTTGTGGTAGTGGTAGTGCAGGAGCTGGGCGGGAGGGACGGCTCGACAAAGGAGCCTTGTCTAGAT